AATTAAAATGTGATGTATTACATAAACATATTCTAACATGTAGTCAATGGTTAGATGATATTAATAAACAAAATCTTATGAAATTAACAAATGAAAATCAAATATTAAAGTATAGACACAAGCAAAAAATATTCGAATTTTATTTTTCCTATGATTTTATTTTTCGTATAGAATTAGAACTCAACATGAAGAATCAAATATTGATGTATGATGAATAAATTTCTTTATATAAATATATTTTATATTAGAATAAAAATAATGAACTTGAATTTGAATTATTACGTTTACGTGAACGTTATAATGAATTAATTGAACATACAAATACACTTAAATATGAATTAAATAATGTACAAAAACAATTACATGAAAAAGAAAAAGTAAATATTAACGTATGAATATTATTCATTTTCTTAATACTTAAATATCTTATTATATTTGTATAGGAACTAAGTAAAAATATATCCTAAAAGAGATCGAATAAAACAATCAATCGATGATTAACAACTAGGTATCGGTGGGATCATCTTTTCTTTTTTTGGTCCTGGTTTCAATTTAAAACTTTTTATTGTTTCTAGAAAAAAAAACGACTTTTCTTATAATCTGTATGATTTTTTGAATATATATAAAATGAATATTGATGATTTTGAGAAATTAACAATCCTAGGTCGAAGATTCCGGACACCGGATCCTGTAGGAAAGATGCGGGAAAATTCACCGTATCCTGCACGAAAACACTGAAAGTCGCCGGAACAGGGTGGCAGTATTCCGGCCGGAAAAGTTTCGGATTTTTTCCAGACAACTTGCTGAAGAAAACGGGAAGAATTTGATCGGAAGTCACCGAAAAAATCCGAAAAGTGTCCAGCCGGAATACTGCCACCCTGTTCCAATAACTTCCAGTGTTTTTCTGCCGGAACCCACTCGTACTTCTCGACCTGGGCATAAATAAATAAAAAAGACCTATTTGTAGATCATTAGTCAGAACAGAATAATAAATATGGAAATAGGTAGTCTAGTTCTGGAACAGAAAACATTACGGGACCAGTTTGCAGATCTCTATTAGCAACACTAATTATATCATGTAATCGCACAAAGATTACATTAACAGATTTCTTTTATCAAATTTAAAGTAAAAATAAAAGTCAAGGTAATCATTTCGGTCGGAAATGTTATTGCTAAAAAGTTCTTATCATAAGTGGTTCACATATTGTAATAAAAGAAAAAAAAACTCCTGAAAGTGCCGATGACGCAAGACGCCATCATATCGAATGTCGCCGACATACGTGAAATCACTCTCACAATTCATTACAATGAATACCGACTTAATATTATTTAATAAACAAAAATGAAAACATTCCTAAAGCAAAACGTCTCAAATTTGAGTACCATTAGAACTCTTCAAAAGTGTTCAGTTTCTATTTTCGTCTTTCTAACAATTAATTAATTGCACGATGTCATAAGCTATTAATATAAAAAATATCGACAAGATGTTGTATCAAATACTGTTGTTGTTATGTAAAATTGTTTTTTTTTTATCTAATTAGTCAATATTATTTATCATAGTATCATTTATGTTACTCACATTATGGAAATTGTATGTTATTATTCATGTCATAATGAGAAAATTTTATCGCATATATATATAGACATGATTTATTTTTTGTCAAGAACAAATTATGTTTTTTTTTGTTTAAAATTTTATTTGTTTTAATTAATATATTTATTAATAAATATAGATTGAACCAAATTTAAATGTTGATTTGGAAAAAGAACGACGACGTGCAGATGAATTTGAAAATGATTATAAATCTTTAAAAATAAAATTTGATGATGTATGTGAACGTATTCGTATAGCTACACATCAATTAGAACATGTACAAATTGTACTTGAAGAAACATCACGTCGTTGTGAACAATTAGAAAAAGAAAAGGTAAAGAAAAAAAATACAAAAAATAATAATAATTTCATTCTCTTACATATCGCGTATATATTATTCTATGATTCGACTAGTTCAGCTACGGAAAAAATTGGTATTAATACATATGATTTATTATTGCTTCTCCTTTTTTTCTCTTCGTGTTTTTCTATTCACTATTGAATTTCTTAGATAAAATATTCCCACAAGCACATTTTTCTGCACTTATTATTTTTTTCTTTTATCTTATATATAATACTCCTCTAGACTGAGACGATGAATCCAACATTATTATTTATATATAGATTAAAATAATTTTTTATTGTCATTTGTTTTTTGTTCTAGTCCGAAATTAATGCTCAATCTGAATATCTTTCACAAAATGTTCTTAATGTAACATCAAAATATAAAGATAAATTAAATATAATTAAAGTTCGTTTGTAAGTCTTTATTTAGAATCCCCAAAAAAAAAGAACAAGATTAAAGAAATTTTGATTATTATTATTATAGAGAACAAGCAGAACGTGAAAGACGTGAAGTACAACTTCGTAATGAAAAATTTCAAAATGATACATAACCGTTTGATGTAAAAAAGTTTGATATGGTTTCATCATGTCAATTTAATTACTTTTTGAATTGTTAAACAAAATGACTGCTGGTTCAATATCTGCTCCGTCAATAATTCCATTACGTGTTGGATATACACAAAAATCTTCCATTGATACAAATACATTGATTGCAATACGTAGTGATACAAATGATGTTGATATTTATTATACATTAGATGGTTCAAAACCAGATGCATTTATAACATTAGCAACACGACGTTCGCCTATACAATATAAAAAAAACCATTTTATATACCAAGAGATATAGCTAATACAGGCATCACGGTAAAGATATTTGGGAAAACAAAAAAATCAGTTTGAAGAATTTTTATTTTTTTTATTAAAATTTATTTAGTGATGGAATACGAGAAAGTGTTATAGTAACAAAAATATTTGATGTTAAAATTATTCCATCAGATCATTCATTATCGGATGAATATGAAAATCGATATTTATATGAATTACAACAAGAACGAAAGGTAAAAAATTTCAATATGATAGATAATAAATAAATTCAATAGAAATTTACTTATCTCATGTTTATTGAAATACTGTATAGAATACTTTTTTTTTTATTATGAAATCATACCTATTTTTATATGAAATGTACAATGAATTTGAATCAAGTGAAAGATATATTATTTTTAGTATTTATTTAAGTAATTTGAAAAAGCATATTTTAGAAAAAGATGAGTTTTCATTAAAAGAAATTATGAACTCGAATTTTATAGAAAACATATCTGAATACATTGAATTTTTCATAAAATATTACGAAAATAAAATAATCAAGTTTATGTGTCATTATAAGTGATTAATCAAGATGTTAAAGTTTAATTAAATATTAAATTTTTCAATATAAATATATTTTAGTTTGCAAAAATATTTACCTTTAATTTTATTTAAAAAAAATTGATATTCAAGAATTTCTCATATCTCAAGAGTTCAATTAGAAGATCACTAATATAATAGTAGTAATTTAATGCTTGTCTATCGATATTTCTTCATTAAAATGTTTTTTTTTCTATGAAGTTCAAAACTTATCAAAGTCATTGACACATCTTCAATTTTAGTTTTTAAATTTCGACTTGAAACTTTACATAGAGATAGATGTTAACGAAAATAATTTATTGCGAAATATTTTTCATTTCGCCGATAAGAATATATCTAAAAAACAATTTGTAAACATACAATTAGTAAAGCAATCGAACTTTTTTCTACATATTTAATTCAGTTAAATATATATCTGGTATCAAAAAAAAAAAAAGTAATTTTATTTATTATTAATCAAATTTCTATATAGAATCAATGCGTCGTTCAACAATTAATTCATTAGTACAAGAAAATCCAACTAATTATACATATTCAAATTCTCAAATACAAACAAATGTTTTAAGGTTTATCGGAACAAAATTACTTTATTATTTGAGCTTTGTTTTTTCTTTTCTAGATGTGCACATTGTTTTGCACCGAAATCAAATGATTTATATACACGATTTTGTACGGAATGTGGTCTACCTTGGCAAAAACTAACTCATAATCCACCGGATAATTATTCAGTAATTCAAAATAACTCTATTGGATATGATGACTACCCTTCATTTGAAAAAAAGAAACTACCTAATCCCATTCTGTTGAACAACTCATAGTTATTTACGAAATTATTTTTTCATAAAAGTCATTATACCAGCTAAGATATATAAGAGCAATGATGAGTAATATGATCTCAAAAATAACCCATATCTGACATATATATATGAGTCTTTCGAAAACAGTAAAAAAACGTTTTTCTCTTTCAGAATCTTGATAAAGCTATTAATTCTTATAAGAAACCCAAACATATGTTGAATGTGATAGAACTACATATCCGAATCACATTCGATGCTCTGAAGCCTAAAAACAAAAAGAAAAGTCATATTTTTCTATTCTCAGGAATCACACTTATAGAAGACGGAAAAAGTTGCATAGTTGGTTGCCTTTGTCCTCGACAGTCATATCTTACAACAGCCATCATTGCTATAATACCTGTTAACTAGTAACCCTACCCCCAGAATAAAAGTGCATGCCCTTATACAGTGTCTTGGCACATCGCTATTTTTTGGATGGCCTTCTATTGGGGGTCAATTTTTGGTCAGTTTTTAATTAAAATCATTTAAAAAATGAATAATTCATTAATAACTTTAATTATTGTTTTTTAGGTGTTTTTGCTGAAAAAACTACCATTTTTTGTAAAACCTGTACTAATTATGATAGGAAAGGAAGGATTTCGCAAAAAAAACATTAGAAAATCGGTTATATTTCCTTAATTCGGGGAGGGGGGTATATGACTTTTCAGAACTGTAAAATTTGATAAAGAGTATATCCTTCGACGGATCATGTATTGTTCTACATAACAGTATTGATTACTTTACAAATGAATAGTAGTTATCTTATTTTACACGGATAATTTTTCTTTAATTAGCCTAATATATGTACAAATTGTAAATCTACTATTCCATTTAATTCTAACACATGTGTTGTATGTGAAACACCAGTATCCAAAGAACCACAACAGCGACGAACTTCTCAAAATCAGGTTTCAAAAAAATTAATCAAATTTTAATGTGCCTCTTAAGACAAGAATTCTATGTCCTCAATGTAAATCAACAAATTCAATACATTTACGAACATGTTATATTTGTGAAAATGTATTAATACCAACATCGACATCACCAGTAAACAAAAAAAAAATCTTATTTATATTTTCCGTATTTCTATTTCAATAGGAAAAATGAACTTCAATTTCAATTCCAACAATATCAAAACAAACTAATACAATGATGATAACATGTTCAAAATGTTTTCGTTTAAATAATCCTAATGCTCGTTTTTGTGATCGATGTAGTGCATATCCTGATCATGCATCTACATCAATACAATGTACAAAATGTCATACTAATAATGATTCATTTGGAAAATTTTGTTCAACATGTGGATGTGTTCTTGAACCACCATTACGTATTATTGATACACGTCTTCAAAATGATTTGAATATTTCATCGCCATCAATGATTGCTAGTGTATATTAAAATTAAAGAATAAAAAGAAAACACAAAAAAAAAGATTCTTGTTTTCTATAGACATTAACACGTAATTCAGCTAATCCTGTATGGCTTAATGCAAATACAACGTTGACTAATTATCATCAATCATATTCAACAATTAAAAAAGAAGTTGCAACACAAACATATAGAATTTATTATTCAAGTGCAAAAGATATTGATTTAATTATAACACAAAATAAAAAATTATTAAATGAAAAAGAATTAAAAGAATATCCTCCAATATTAACATCTACAAGTCCAGGAAAAGGATATTGGCGCCAACAATTAGATCATATGTGTGCTCATTTAAAAACTTATGCAATTAATCGACCAGATTTTCAATCATTGATTGGTAAAGATCTTTAATATTTAAAAAAAAACAAATACTTTTATTTTGTTATAATGAATAATAATAATTATTTAAAATATAAATTCTCTCTCTCTATATATATCTTATATATTAATATTAAAAAAATTTATATATTATTTAATTATTTTTTTAGGTGAACCACGTATGGGTAATATGATTCATGCAACTGTACATGAAAATGAATATCAAGTAACTATACAAACAGTATTTCGTAAACCAGAAAATCTTTCACAATCACCATTTTTTATTAATGAAACAAATGAATATTATCCAATAAATAGTGAACGAAGTTCACCATATTCAAATACAATTTATTCTGATAGTAAGCAAAAATATTCTTTGCAAAAAAAAAACTTTGTTTTTTATATACAGGGTGTCCCAAAAGTCCGTTGGAAAAGTTAATTCAAATATCTCTTATACGACTCAAGCAATTTAATCGATTTTTTTATAGTATGTTAGTATGTTCTTTAAAGTTTTGTTCTGTATATTTTTGGATAAATGTCTGTGCCTATAACTATTAGAATTAGAATAGTTCTATTAATGCCCAAATTTGAGTTACCTATCATTGTGAAAGGAAAAATGCAAGTCGAATTTGACATAAAAACGCTACACATGGACTGTGCTATTGCCGCTTTTCAAGGCCTTTGCGAAATGAGTATAGTAGTAAACAGACAACAATTTGAAAGACCTTCAAAAACTACAAAAGAGAAAATCAGCAAAGTTTATGATAATTGTGAAAATGTGCCACTATCAAGTGTTCGGGTTGTTGCAACAGCCTACTTCATTCCATGGACAATATCAGGACGAATTATCACTGAATATCATCTAATGAATCCATATAGAGTGTAATTTCTCCTATCATGTCATAGAGAAGATTCATAAGATCGAGTTGAAATTATATCACTTTGATACGCAAATTACAAAATATCCACAATCAGAAGAGCTCTTTTTTTTCATACAAAGTCTCTTTTCATTTGAATGGTTTATTAACAAATATAAAGTAGAGACCTATATACATAAGATATATATATAAAGATTTGGTTGAATTCAAAATAAGAACCGATAACGAAACGAAATTAGCTCGAAAATAAACTTTCTGCAATTTTTTTTAGAGATTTCAAAAACGATGGATTTAGGTATTATACTTCATGGTAATCATTTTGAATATTTGTTGCAAACTAAAATATGTGAAATAAAACTTTAAAGAACATACTAACACATTATAAAAAAATCAATTAAATTGCTTGAGTTGTATAAGAGATATTTGAATTAACTTTTCCGACGGACTTTTGGGACACCCTGTAGATGAATATCCAAGAGAAATTACAGAAAATATTGAGTGTAAGAATAAAATATTTTATTATAATTTATTTTTGTCTTATTAATTATCTATTATAATTAATAGTCAACTCATGCATTAATTCGATTATTTGAAAAAAAAATAATAATTATAGTAAAAAATCATCACATCAAATCGATATATTAAAAGAAGTTCAACGTTTAATAAAAGAAAAAGCTGATGTTAATATTAAAAATAAAGAAGGTTATACGATTCTACAATTGACTATACGTAATGGATATTATGAATGTTTAGAAACACTTATTATAGATGGAAAAGCTAAATTAGATAAAAAAGGACCGTAAGTTCTATATATATGTATATATCGAGATTTTAATATCAATTGAAATCAAAGATTGACTTTGTATTTTTTCTTTTTTTGTTCAGATAAAAGTTGATATTCGAAATGTTAAGAAATATTGATTTTGTTTTGTTTTGTAGACGAGGTAATACAGCATTACATGAATGTTGTTTATTAGGACTTGATGGTGCTGAACCATTAAGAATTCTTCTCAAGTAAGTTTAGTTTTTTAATTAGAAATTAAATAAGAAAATAATAAAATTTAATTTTTTTTTTGATAAGAGACATGGAGGTGATGCATCTTGGTTAAATGATAAAAATGAAAGTGTTATTGATATAGCAGCAAAACAAAATTGTCCAAAATTATTACAAGCTTTTTCTAAATATCAAAGTGAAAAAATGCTTAAACAACATACGAAAAATTCTTATGATGATCATACAAGAATAAAAACTATTCATGATCATCATTCATCAGAAAAATTATAAAGAAAAGAAAAAATAAAAGTTATTTTTCTTTCTTCATATTGGATAATAGTTGATGAATGTTTGTTTTTAGTTTTTTTTATTATTGTTTTTTCTTAGCAACTGAGTGCTTTGTGTTTTAAATTCTTTCTTTGATACAAAATCTTACTGGGGATTAACAAAACTAATAAATAATGTCAAAAAAAAATATGAATTAATTTTTAGTACGACTAATGTAGATAAGTCTTCTTCACTTTATCATTACGATAAAATTCGCTAAATTCTGAGTTAGATCGACTTATTGTTAGGATGATTTGTAATCTATTTTGATCAAGATTTTATTAATAAAATCTTAAAGATTGAAAAACGACAAAGTTTACAAAAAGAAGGGACTTGTTATCAGCGAAATTGTCCGTACTTTCTTATAAAATTCTATTTTATATTACATATTTTGTCGATATCAGCAACCTTTGGTTAATAGTATAAAACCTTCTAATGCATTTTGTACTGTATACAACGAGATTTAGCTATGTTTGATGTCTTCAGAAAGATTAAGTTATAGAATGTTTTCATGGAAAATACTTGATTTATTTGCTTATATATTCAACTGATCTATATGAAAAATTAAGCTGTTCTAGTTCTCTGCTGAATAGAATGTGAATATATGAGAAACAATTATTTTTTGCTTTTCTTTACATAAGGATATGATTCATGTCGCATATCATTAAATCTGAACAATAGGGTATGGTGTGGATGAAGAGAATATCTACATTCAAATCAGAAAAAGTAAATTTTATTGGTACATATCAATATTATATCCGAAAGTCTTTCTTTGTCCAAAAATGAATTAACAGTTTTTTTCCATACGATATAATCACAAAGAGTATACATTCACACTAATAAAAAACATACCATATTTTTGCACTTTGACACGTTAAATATTTTTCGTTGTTGTAGGAAATCGAAGTACTATTTTTTTTTTCGATAAGATCCAGCCATATCAAAGTGATCCAATCTCGATCATTGATTTATTTTTCAACATGTTTTTTGGACTAAATTTTACTACAGTATGATACGTTTTATTTTAATATTTTGACTGAGCTGAATGCCAGAAGTCAAATTTATCGATGATAGAAAATATTTCATATTGTTTTGTGTTTTTTTTCGAAACGAATGTTTTTGAAACAGTCATTCTCATTGATATCACTCAGATGCTTTCTTACGGTGAAAATAAGAAATTTTTGAACAGTTGTTCGATTTTAATGATCTTTTTAACATTATACTAATCATACTTCGTACATAGATTCTAACGTTCTTTTAACACACAGGGCAGAAATTTTCTCATTGTCACTGTGATGCACATTAAAATTATACGAATCTCACATGTGGATAAACACAATTTGAAAATTAGTTTTTTATGAATCTTGGATATCAATGGAACAAGATGTCTTTTTATTATACCATATATATTCCAAATGAGTTTAATATAAATCAAAAAACCTATTAACAAGCTTATGAGTGACGATAAATTCATTCTGCCAGTCTTACTGAGATATGGTCATGATTACATTTCACACACTGAAAAAACGGGAATATAGTAGTACTTGTCTAAACTACTTGGAAATAAAATGCAACTTTCATTATCACATATGGCATCAGTATCCAGAAATAAAA